GATAGCGTTTCACACTTGTCTCTGATAAGCAGCGATTTTTTTTTTTTTTTTTTTTTTTCTGCTGTAATTTTATCGACCACTCACTGCTCTGATATAAATAGCCGCAATCGCGATATTTTATTGTCATTCAGTTTTGGCAACAGTTCCGAACATTATAATTTCCGGCTAAAAACTTATCTAAAAATTAAAGCTTAATCTCAACTTAAGTTAATTTTTTATTGTAAAAAAAAAAATAATAATAAATCCGATATGTACTCGCGCGTAATGTGTTTGGCTTCGATTGCCCTATTTGCCATTTTGGCAAATGCTGTTGTAAATGCTGGTGTCGCTAGAGATAGCAATAACCTAACACAGCAAGAAGTACGTGACATTACGGTTGTTAAGGATATCGCTGAATTCAAGAAGAACCATCCAGGTTTGGTTATGACGCGTATGACAAAGGAGGAAAGCAATGCGAGGAGCCAATCGGTGCGCTACAGTCTAGGCGGTCGTGTGTCAGGTAAGTGTGTGGGGAAATAGTATTTGGGTTAAACCTTATCATCGTAGGTAAATAGATTAAGAATATGAACGGTGTTATCTTTGGAGAACGTTTATTGGCCTCCCTTAAAATTTGAATTTGCATGAGTCGAAATGTTTCCTAAGAAACAATTAACTGCCGTTTAAACAAATAAAGTATTTTAAACGTTTTCACAACTTGGGGTTATTTCTAGCCAAGTGAAAAACTCTAACAGCCAATTCAACGCAATTAATACAAAAACAGGTACATATGTATAACAATAGTTTTCTAGTTAGAGAATATAATTATGAAGAAAAAAATGTGTACATTAATTAAAGATAAATCCTACGAATTGATTTTGGCATAAAAATCTACCCAAATTTTTTTTTGAGTTGTGTCTCTTTTGAAGGTGGTGTGCGATTTGTTAATTAAATTTCCAATTGAGTTTGTATGCATTTCACCAATCCTCTATGGGTAATTTAATATATTTTGGTGCAAAAATTAATTATGAGATATCTTATTAAAAAAAAATGATTTTTTATTGCAAAAAAAATCCTAACCCTTGACGACCGATGGGTCTAAAGGGGTCACTTTTTGATTTGTTTGAAGGCAGTTGTTTCTTAAAATGTAATTTAGTTGCGAAAATTAATTATACGTACAGTGTCTATTTTTGAAAAATATTTAGAAATTATATTAATTTCAAATGTAAACCTGAGAGGTCGGAATTTGCTAAGTTTTTTAATTAAATTGCTGAAATTATCCATACTATCAAAAAAAATTTTCGTTGCAATATTTGTTTTTACATATATCAATAAAAAATTAAATTTTTTTTTAAAATGTACCAATAAAGAGTGTCGTTTCTCTCTCAGTCCTTGCTCAACAAGCATGTGACTTTATTTAGACCAACTAAAGGTATTTTGTGGAAAACTTAAATGCCTACACTAACCCGCAACTCTGGGTATCTGCAGGGCCTTCGGGATACTAAAGAAACAGCCAAGATAAAAATAGCAAAGATTCATTCTAATAGCTTGGCAGTACTGAAACCAAATGCAGGCAACGATTTTTGAAGAGTGAAGAAAAGTGGAACAATGCTCGGTGACTCAGACAATGCCCATCTCAATTGTCTGGGCTCCCCGCCAGAGGGAAATAGAAGGTAGCGAGAGATCGGATGCATTGGTTAGAACATGGGGGCGTTTGGATGCATCTGTGAAAATGGTGCTGTGATGTACTTCTTTTTTGTTGGAATTAGGCACGAAAACAACGCGTACATTTTGCTGTTTTAATTTCCTTAAACCTAAGCAGATTTTGGGTGTCAATAAGAGTTCAGATGTTCGTCTTTCAACATATCGCGGCCAAGTGCCTCATACCTAATTCTTGCAAAGGCGGTGCAGAATAGGACTTCCATACAACAGAAACTACCGTAGCTGATGCTCAGATCACAGTGATAAAACAGTTCTTCATTTCCCATGCGAATGCCCACTATTGTGAGGCCGATTGAGGAAGCCTTCATACTAGGGCTGTGCGATTAATTGATTATTCAAAATTTTAATTAATCATAAAGTAAATAACTCAATTATTCGATTAATTGGAAATTATGATTACTCAAATGTTCAGTTACTCGAGTAATCAAGATTTTGATTAACCAAAAACAAAAATATTTGAGTAATTTGCTTTATGATTAATCAACATTATGAATAAAATGAGTAATGAACATTTCAAAGTACTCTTTACATACATACATATAAAGCAGTTGAAGTTCCTTGATACTTTGAAAAAAACGTTTCCGTTTTCAAAAATAAAAGGGAAATACATACATACATATTTTTTTCATATACAGAATATAAAAAAGAAAATAAGCATTTTCCAAAGAAAACTCTTTTAACGAGCAAAACTAATTTTTTTGAGTAATCATATTTCAAGTAACTCGATTAATCATCGTTTTGAGTAATCAAAATCTTGATTACTCGAGTAATTGATTAACCGAATAACTGATTAACCAACTTGCTCGAGTAATCGAATAATCGCACAGCCCTAGTTCTAATACATAAAAAATCTATAAAAAATCTGTTACTTTTTAATTTTTTCCCTGCTTAAGTTTTTTTTTCGTAAAAGTTATAATATTTTGTGAAAATCACTTGATCTAGAAAAACAGAATACAGAATACGTAATCTACGACTCAAAATTAAGTTTACATGTTTCGGCGTGTTTTGATGTTATTTCAAAGCTTGGCATTTTCTCTATAGTTTTATTAGACTCTTTAAAAGCGTGCCTTCTAGGTATAGTAACCATATTCTGCAATGTAAAATAAAGGAAAGTTTTTAATAATTTGATTTTATGCACGCGTACCTTGTTTGCAATTATCAAATAACATTACATGGTACACAGTTGCCTATTTATTACACTGTGCGACAATTTTATGGCAATTCAAACCAGCCTGAACTTTG